GAGAGCAGATGCCTGTCTCCCTGTGTTAGAGAGAGGTCTTATATTCATACCCCCAACACAGTATTGCATGGGTATTTTTAAAATGGTATTTGTTTTAATGTATTTAAGTATTTTTAATGTTAACAAATTGTTGTATATTTGTGTTACATAGAAAACAGATTTTATTCATTTGTACCTTCATTTTTAAAAACATTCTTATTATGTTTTTTGTTTCTGAAATCTCAAAAGGCCTGATTTGGATTGTGGGATTGTTTAAAGAACATTATTAAAAAATTAAGTGGTATATTTATAATACCTCAAGTGCAGTTTGACTTCAATTTTCAGAGAGAATAAAATAACTGATTGATGCAGACACAATGAATGAACATTACATTGTTAGATAAATGTCTGAAGACATTTTTCAGAGGCTGCCTGACTTTAAATTATAATTTTAACCGTTTTTAAATAATAATAATAACAATAATAACAATAATAACAATAATAACAATAATAACAACAACAACAACAATTCTTATTATTAGAGTTTGGTGCTGTGTTAATGACTAAGTATTGGATTCTGTACTGTGTTATCCAGTGTGACTGGGGTAAAGGAAAACACAGGCAGCACCATGGACAGTTCCCCAAGCTCCTCCTCAGATGAGTTGTTTATTGAAAACTGTGTGACTGTATGTGTGATTCTTTGTGTTTGTTGCAGGATGCAAGAACTATACATCATGTACTCTCCGCGCTAATTGCACAACCAGTTTCTTCCCTATTGGTAACTGTCCTGGTGCTCGTAGAAAACAGAAGTGGGAACAGCTTCTTTTATCCCACTGGAGTTGGAAATGTTTGTTGTGTGTCTCTTTGAGTCTCTCTTCAGGTTGGCTGAAGGAACTCTAAATTACCCGTAGACTTCCTGCCATCTGCTCTAACTCAGCATGCTTTGTGAAAGAAGAGCCAGGAAGAATTTCTTGCACCACCCTCACAAAACCTTTAGAAAAAACTGAACTCACCCAGGTCTGCCTCTGTGGATGCATATTCATCTGAGTTTGTGGTGGAGTGTTTCGATACTATTTGATATTATGGTGTCTGTCATCCAGGCTATTACATTAGAACTGTCCCAGTGCACCTTCAGAATTACACTGAATGAAATGTCAGCTGTGTGATGAAAATAGTTCAATAAATTTAGTTTTCAGTCATAAAAGATTTAAAAATTCATTATGTCTTGAAATTCAAACTTTTGAACTAGTTTAAATTCTCTCAAGCTGCCCTGTGGTAACAGATGAAGTCATCTGATTTGCATAAAACTTGAAAGATGAAGACTCTCTAGGAGTTTCTGTAAATTCACACATGCAACCAAAGGTCAATGACCTCATGCAACTCTCACCCTGGAGTACTAACCTCACTCAGCAACAGCATGACTAAGAGATCACATAAGGTCAAAGCATACAGTTAATCATTTGATCTTCTGTAAGTAGCAGTTTTCAAATATTATGAGATTATGATCAATTTTGTGAAACTTCACAGCCCCAATATTACTGAGAGTCATGTAATAATAACATCTTTGTAATAAATGCTCAGTTTGTTCTTCCAGGATCTAACGCCACAGATTAACATGGTTTTCCCTGATAGATTCAGGATGGACCAGAGAGCACACAGGGAAGGAAAAGTCTTGAAGTTTTGTTGTTTGTGCTTGTACTTGGTTAGGAAAGGCTTATTATTCTGCAAAAAGCTCTTTTCTGGGCCTTCCTTACACCATAATTCAATTTATGTAACGAATAAGACAAAAACTGTCCACTTTTAAAGAAACCAATGAGGTGCAAAGAGGTTACAAATGGCTTTTAGAGCTTCCTAAGATTACACTCAGGTCACAGAGCAAGGGCAACGCTGCAAAAAGGCTTGTGTGGAATGGCATGAACAATATTTCACATTCAGATGATCAGAGAACAGCTTATAGAGTGTGTTTCTGAGAATTAGTTATAAATCCTACATCTTACAAGAGATTTTCCCCATTCTAGTTATAAGAAAATACACGGAAACGTGAACTCTCTTTGATGCTGTAACATGGAGTGAAAACACTGGTCAGGATCAACCTCACATATTAAAGTTGCCCCTCTTCCAGTGCAGCTTCTGGTGAACAACTGCCAGCAGTCTTGTAATGACTGACATATTTTAAATCTTACAGTGGTGTACCTACTGTGAGAAACACTTAAGAGCCTGCTGTTATCTTCAGTAATCCCTGCTGGCAGCAGCAGCTCCTCCTGAGAGATAAAACATTAACAAACTAAACAACAAACTCAACAGCTGAATGATTCCACACTACCAGTCATATGAGAGCTCAGCCTGCAGCTGCAAGGTTTTTAATACCCCTGGACAAACAGTAAATATTGTGAAGCAGAAGTGTTACATGTGCAGAACGCAGAGGCTGAGTAATCTGTATCAGGGGACTGAAACTGAAGGGCTACAGGGGTTAAAAGTTTACAAGTCTGTTATTTTTCCAGAGTGGAATGATTGCCCCACAAACATCTTTAATGACTCTAAAAACCAAAAAATTTGGGTGCACACATTTGAATTTATTTTGGATGGACATACAGGCTCAAATAGTAGTGCTGAAGATTCTATAATGTTCTTTAAAAGGACAAGGCCAATTAACCTATCAGTGATCACTATTGAATAAAGCTGGCAGTTTGTCTTTGTCAGGATAAGAAGGATTTGTTAGACAGCACTCACTGGATTAAACAATACTCATAACAATGGGAAAGTCAGAGTCAGTGAAGACAGTGATAATCTAAAGATCTTCTAATGATTGAAAACTGTAGATTAACACAAGATAGAAAAGTCTCTTGGAGTCAATTTTAAACAACTGTAGATTCAAAGTTCAAAGTTATTTGGACACCATTTTACCAAAGTCTGGATGAACACTGAAACTGTCACCCTCAGATGAGAGGAAATTGCCTGAGATGTTCAGAGACCAGGAAACTGCTGGATCACTAGCAGCACTGTCCACAATAAATTGAGTTTTATATCACCATGCACTAAGAGGGTGCAGCTTAAAAAAGAAGCTCCTGCTCCAAAAATCAACACTTTCAAAATTGACTGAAATTTGTAGCTGCCCATTTGGACAAGCCAAATGGCTTCTGGAGAAACGTTTTATGGTCAGACGAGATAAAGATTGGCCTCAATGAAAAAAAGATGTCCTTGCATGCAAAAAAAAAATGTGAGGCTTTCAAACTCTGTATCAACTGTCGAGCTTGGTGGTGGTAACAGCATGCACTGGGGCTGTTTTATTGCAAGTGGTACTGGTACAGGTGGATGGAATACTGAGGAAGGAGAACCACCTCCAAATTCCTCAACTTCACCTCAAATCAACATCTGGAAGGCTAAAACTTGGACACAACTGGATGTTCCAACAGGACAAAGATCCCAAACACACATGAAAGCAGGCTAATATTCTGGAATATTGTAAGATGTATAACTTCTGGATCTCTACCTTACCACACCATAGTTGTTTAAAAAAAATGGTTTTAAAAAAACAAAAACAAAAAACTAATCAATACTAAAAATTTGGATCATCACCGACAGTCCCCTCTTCATCTCCTCTAGTTGGCACAAAACTTCACACTGCACCTGCAGACAGCCAAGCACACAGTTGCTCCCCTCACCACAAGTCGTGGTTTTATTCCGACATGTAATTCCCCAGAAAAGCTTCTTGTTTCTCGTTTAATTTCTAAATGACATAGTGGACATTGGTAGCAATCACAGACATCACTGGGAAAAGTAACCTGCACGACTGAGACACATTTTGTTAACAATATCAGTTATGAGGGCCTGAGTGAGTCACACCTGGTTCTACTGACTTTCACTATTCAAACTAGTGACCTGTCTGCAAACCCACTGTAATACCATCCAGCATATAATTCAGGGTAAATACTTATGCAGTAATTACAGTGCTGGCAGGCTACAGTGACTCAGTCATAGCGTTTTTAAATGGACCTCATCAGGACCCTATAACCACAGATCATTTCGTATTCACTAAACAGCGTGAACCCATTGAAACAGGAATGAGGAATTCACACACAGCAAATCCCTTCGTGCATATTAAAACTCCACCCTGACAGAGTATCTGGCCATTACCATGCCTTGCAATGCCAATTTTCCAGGCAGCAGCTTAATGTTGCATCAAAAGATTAATATTTTCAAGGTCTTGGGAAGTCTAGCTTGTTTGCTACCTGTGAGGTTGCTATTGCTGACTCCAGCAGACCATTATTGATCAGGTTTGTGTTGTACGGGCCCAGGTGATTACTCTCAGACATACTGCAAAACAAAGGGTTCATAAACACAGCGTCTGGGACAGAGAGAGGCCAGCAGACCACAAATGCTCCTGGTAAGATAAGCTATGTAGAGAATACTGCATTTCCGTGGCTGGTTGACTCGGTGAGGCAGATGCTGCTCGTGTTGTAGCGCCGCATTGTCTCTCAAAGTGTTTCTGGCAATAAAATGAACAGAACAGACTCTTTTGGGGAAAAAAAAAGAGATCCACATAGGTTTAGAGTCTACAGTGTGGACAGGCCTATTGTCCAAAATACTTGTTTTTTTATTTTACACATAATTTTTTCCCTTTACACACAGTCAAATATTCTTTAAATGTTCAATACCTTTGTTGGATTTCAATTACAGGCTAATTGTTCTCTGACCTTTTTGTAACTTTTTCCTTTAACCCTCTCAGGCCCAAATTAAGTTTTTTGTTGCTAATGCACAACCATGTCCTGCAGTGGTACTTCTGAGAAAGTCATAAAATATGTATGTGGGGTAATCAGGTTGTTAGTTCTTAACTGTTGCAAATCTGCAACGTCTGCCTGGAGAGGGTTAACTCTGTTCCTACACCCTGCTTAAGCTGGCATGAAGTGTAACTAAACATGAAGCCACAGTGGCTTTATAATCATTTGTATGCAGTAACATTTCCAGGTCACACTAAAATGTGTGTTTTGTTTTTTTAACTCAAGGCCTGGACTTGTGTTTGTTGCATAAATAAGTTAACAGCTGGTGAATAAAAGCCTAAACCTGGCTTTGCTTTTGCTGAAGACACAAAAGACATCATTTTTTATTTATTTTTTAATAGAAGATCCTTTATGGATGATTTTCTTCTCAGGTTTGAGTAACAACATATAGCAGTAATGAATATTAATATATTAGCTGCATGATGTTGCCAATTACTATGTTGGTAGGAAGATTGTAAGCAGCCTATTCACTTTAAATAAATCATCAAGGATAAGGAAGGGAGGACAGTAGCCAGTTTACAGAAGAGTCCTACCGTCAAGCTCCTCAACAGAGATGCTGGCCAACACATCGCTGTCACTGTCGGACAGCGAGCGGCTCAGGTAGTTCCCCTTGTAGAGCAGGCCTGCCGTTACATGGTGGAACGGCATCTTCTCCCTGAGAGACAATAGAAGAAATCATTTAGACAGCAGTGAGGGTAGAAAAGAGGAGCTGTACGGGAGTCTTCTCTCTTGGAGGATTAATTCCAAAAAACAAACAACCCATTAAAAGCCCACCTTACACATTTCTAAAAACAGCAGCTTCTGTGTGTGACATTTCATGGTCCCCGCAACATCACTGTGGAATTGACTTATTAGGGTTTCAAATTAGCCACAGAAAAAGAAAAAACTGTGAGAATTGATTTGCGAGCTGCGCAGGTTCCCTTTCAAACAAAACTTACAATTAAGTCAAGAAGAAAATAAGAAATAATCAGATTTTAAAGCGACAGTTTCGCTCATTTGTGACTCTGGCACTGCTAAAACAAATCCAATAGGCGCGGCATAAACATGCTTCATAAATGAAACAGAACTCATTCACTAAATGGAAAGTAACACAGCGTGTAGCTCGAGGTGAATGTGCTGAATTCATGCCTACGTTAGGTGCATATGAGCATGCCTGTGTGCAATGTAGGTGCAAATGAGTCTGAAGTAATTAATTATTCAATAAATTAAAGCTCAAGGGCACAGGGGGAAAGTAAAAGCACTGAGATCTTAGTGATAAGATCTCCGACAGGATTTCATCTAGATGAGCCCTTTGAGGAAATGCTTCTTTGACATAATAGAGGATTTTTAGAATGAACTGAATGATCTGCACCAAACTAAAGAATCACATTTGTCATTGTTTCATCTCCTTTACGGGTTAAGTTGACAGCAGAGCAGAGTTTCATACATCTCACAGTTATGAGAGCTTAGACAAAAATATTTAGAATACATCTAAATGTGAAAAGGGAAAAGATTTTACACTCTTAGGGTTACAGTAATTTTATGCCCTCAAAATCTGTTAGTTTATATTTAGAGGTTTTTATGACAAAGGCATGCTGCTCATTCTTCTTGCAAAACCAAAATAACAACAACCATAAGCCAGGGGTGATCTTTTCTTAGCCTTCATTGAAGGTTTTAGAGGAGTTTATAGTTATACATTAATATTTCCCTCTTTGTTTGTTTCTTTTATCTCAAAAGGTTTATTTTCCTACATCCTGCAACAACGATCAGCCATCTGTCGCCTCGCAGTTCACAACCGGCCTCTGCATCTTGCATGTTTGTCAGTTTAATAAGCATGCACATCAAGACGTCTGCAGCTCCGCCTATTAGGAGCAGCTTTTTCTTGCGCGTAATGTCAGGATTTTTCATTTCCTAATTCATCAATTATTCAGCCATTTCTCAGCTGTCATTTTGAATATTACAATCATCCCTCTTGTCCGCTCTTTCAACTTTATCGCTACGAGCCAACCCACATGATGTCAGCTGATTTACACAGGTACTTTTCTGCATTTGTGTTGCCTGGGGAACTATTGATCAGAATGGCTACCATGTAAGGGCGACTTTCAATTCATATCAGAAATCAACACATGGCTTATTACGATAACAAGAATCATATTGAAAATATTTTGAAAGCAGACAATGGAGACACAAATTAATTAAAAGGCAGTTTGTGGTGCAAACTTTTGGTTTTGTAGGATGAAACAGCACTGTGTGTACTCTCAGGGTGGAGGAAAATTGTGGCTTCCATTGTGAGTTTTCTCACTTTCGTTAGATTCTGCATTCAGCAGAAAAGCTCACACTAATCAAGACTAAGAATGAATGACATAATGACACTCAGCAGCAGAAATCCAATTCTTACTTTTTACATTCCTGGGATGGTTGTTGAGCATCTTAACAGGTAGTAAGAGTTTATGTGCAAGCTAGAATTATTAGTCTGTTGGATTGCTGGAATTTTAAACACCAGCAGTAATTAAATTGTTGAGTTGTTATTATTATTATTATTTTTTTTAAATCAGTCATCTGTGTACCTGATCTCACCAAAAACCCAGTTTAGTAGTTGTTTGGTTGAAAATGAATCACATGGTGACATTTTTTCCTTAAATTCCCTAAATCAAGGATGACCTTTAAGTTATACTAGGTTTAACCTGGTATGCTGCTGTGGCAGACATATTCAATTATTTCCACACATTCATAAAGTAAAGAATCATTTTAGAATACATAAATGAAGCATGATGTTAGTTCAAGCAGAGCACTGAAGTCAGTGGTATTAGCCATTTCAGATCTTCACACGTTTCAATCTGACACTTCCCGCTATCACTCTGCTGATTCAGTTATGCCCACACCACTCCATCACAATTCCTTCGATCTCTTCCTCATGTGCTATTCATGCTATCATTTGATTTGACTAAGATTTGTTAAATTAAATGCACACTGTAAAACACTTCCTGATAGGTTTGTAGAGGAATATACTGTCTTGTGTAAATACTGGCTACTTGCAGTCTTCCTACCACTGCACATATTTATGGTGTAATACAGTATTTTTAGTGACAGTGGAAATTAATGTAAATGTTAAAATTGAAATAGCTGACTGACATCTTACAGTTAATGGCACAAAATATTTATTCATGCCAAATATGTCCATTTACGTTTCAATTTCAAAATGTAAAGAAAAAAAACGACTATGAAATATAAAAAGAAATATAGACTAATGTAATTACACATCAATACGGTACGGAGCCCCGCAAGGGACATGGGAGAAAAAAAAAATTAAGACGGACTTTTGCGAGATCTCGCAAATCAAACTCGGGATCTTGCAAACGTTTTAGCCGCATTCTTCGGAGGCCGCCAGCTCAAAGCCGACTGGGAGGACGGTGTTCGGCTGTAGTAGGTCTCGACCTCCCGTTAGCTTCGAGATGGTGCGTGTCAGACATCTCCGAAAACGTCGGAGCACTTTTTCAAATATGTGATCTTCTAATCCGAGCAGATATTTGACGTTTACACAGCTACATTTACGCCTCAAAATATTTTAAAAGTTTATTTTGTGACCCAGAAAGAGTAATATTACAACTAAGTAGCTGCCGCCATTGTTGGAATTCAACATTTGCGAGATGTCGCAAAACTTTTGCGAGATCCCGAGTTAGTTTTGCGAGATGTAGCAAAAGTTTATCGTAATTTTATTTTCTCCCATGTCCCTTGCGGGGCTCCGTACATCAAGACTATGGGACATTAAGAAAGGATAAGATTTAGATAACACTTTACTAAAATATCTCAAGGATATGGTGTTTAATAACACAAAAGATAAAGTGTGAAATAATGTGCTGAGACCATGAAACACTGACCTTCAACCCCTTAAAAAGACAGTGTAGAACAGAGCGCTTCACAGTTTTCAGCATCATTAGATCTGATTAAATTGATCAAGGTCTCAGCTGAAGAAGCTAATTTGCCCTTCAGGAACAAAGCATGCAGTAATCACTTAAATCAGAAGTGATCTTCCCTTCATCTAATCCTTACTCTCTGCATGCTGTGATATATATATTAGATGAACGGGAAAAGGAGGCAAGATCATGGAATTTAATACTCAGATCGAGTGCCTGATAAAAGTGAACCACAGAAATCAGCAGATGTTCCTGAGGATTTTACTGAAATGGCACAGAATGACAAATTCTGTATATGTATTTGAGGATTTTACTGAAATGGCACAGAATGACAAATTCTGTATATGTATTTGAAGATGGACGATTACAAACCGTTACAAACAACTGGTTTCAGTCGTTTACTTATTTAAATCACCAATTGTTTTAGAAATATTACAACATGATCCGCTCAAATGTCATCACTGCGCTCGTTCTGACTGACAAAAAGCCTAAAATCCAGCTCACAATGACAAAGAATTAAGAAAAGCACCATATCCTCACACATTTAAGAGACCATCCATAAAGCAATTAATCCACTAATTGTTTCATTTTTACTAGAATGGATTAGAAGATATTTTGCCCAAAAGTACATTTTATGTAAATTCACAAAAGAACATGGCACTAAAAGCAGATGAAACCCGCCCTTTAGTTTTATAGGATAGTAACTCAAATTTTACAATAGGTTGAGGCCATTAGCTGATGCTGTTACACAAAGTGACTTTCAGTCTGTGAGGGAGTGAGCTAGGAGTCAGAATCTGGCTCAAGGACAGTGCATGAATTGACTGAACACTATTGTTGATGTTCGCACTAGCTGTGATTAGACCTGTGGCATTTAATCATGGGCCGAGCGGTCACATCAAGAGTCTTGATTTTTTTAAGTGGTTCTGTACTAAAGGTGACAGCTAAATATGACAGGTGAGAAGGAGTTGGTCACAGATAAAAGTCTGAAGTCTCTAATTTTTTAGATCCTCAACTTTCATCCCAAAGATAAAAGTAATAAGATTAAAAGCTCAAAAAAAGAACACAGAACTGTTCTGCAATGCAACCACAAACCTTGACATTAAAACTTAACCACGAACATGATTTTAAAAACAGATCTTCCTCAGATGGATAAAAGTCCATGAATGTTTTTAGCAGTCATGCTTTAAAAAAAAAAAAAAAAAAAAAGGCTGAAGTTGAGTATGAGCAAAGTGAAGCTCATGTTTCCTTTTTTCATGATTAAAGTTCCCACAGATGACTCATGGTAGATGGTTGTGTAAATACGGATGACAATCAGTAATATAAGAAAGACATTTTAAAAGCCACTTTTTATTTGAAGGTGGCAACTCTAAGAAAATTAAATGCCATTTGGAGCATTCACAGCTTTGTTTTCAAAGCATTTTAATCACTTTAAATATTAGTATTACACATTAGCTGAAGAGAGAACAAACTATTAATGCACCAATTTAATACTCTTAAGACTTTCTAGTCCTGTAAAGACTGGGTCACTGCAAAAATGAACCCTATTACACCTGAGACATAAATAAAACCTCACTAAAGTTGCATGCCTTACGGGGAAAGCATTACTTGTGCTGACACTTCAAGGATAATACAAAGGTGACATGACTAATCAAAACTGTTTGACCCCAAAGGAAGAAGCAGGAAGCTGCAATTATGCAGCTGCCATTAAAATGTCTTATGTCCTCAAATAACTGGCGGGAAGACATGATGAACTCATTCCACTGCAAACTGTCCATCAACTGGATGCCAAAGATTACAGTCACAAAAAATGTTGAACATGCACATCAAAAGCCAAAACAATCCCAAATGTTAAAAATTATAAAACACTAAATATTTCATTGTTATGGGCAGATACTCTCCAAATGCTCTTTTTTAATGTTTGTTTGAATATAATGGAATTGAGCTGTAATAAAAATACGTTCTTTCAATTCAATAATTTTCATGCCATTTTAGCACTACAATTTAAGCACAATGGACTTCCGTTTAAGGTGTATTCATGCTGTAACTGTATGTAAATGTCCAGAAACAGTCACTATCTCTCTGAACAAAAAATATATGATGTGATATAAATGATCAAACTGAGTTTCACCAATATACTGATGCTTTGCCTCATAACTATACAAACAACTCAGTCCCTTGAATCCTTCACCTCTCTTCTATAAGAAATCACTAATTGACCCATGACTGCATCAAAAGTGCAAAAGCAGCCCATCCTCATTTCTGAGGTTTCACTTTTGAAAAAAAGCAAAACCTGATGAAAGAGCACAGCCTTACTCAGAGCTTCCTGCATGACAAGGAGGCCAGATGGCAATTTCTTACATCAGACCCTGCATCACAACAGCCAACAGCAATGGGCCAATACAGAGCGGGACACGAGGAGAACAATGTGTACCAACAGCAGCCGCTCCAGCCACAAGATCAGCTTCGTAATGGACATAATACAGTGACAGCTTTGTGTAAAAATACATTCTCCATCAAAGATGTAACAGCAAAACAAAACCACCTGATGTGATGTCACAGACTGAAGTTTGGCTACACTGGCAGATTTCTTGAAAAGGTCCAACCACAGAAATAAATGCAGCAGAAACTTTGTGTGTAGTTAGATCATTTTTCATCACAGAGATTAAAATGAGAGCATAGTCAGCTGTCAACTGGTCATAAAATAAATTGCCAATTAGAGAAATGACAGATGTTAAAATAAAAACAATGAAAAAAATAATAATTTCCAGACCAAACCAGAAGTTGGTCATTTCGGTTACAATGGTGTTTCTGTGGTGTGAGGCTCTTTGGTGCCATCTGATGACTCAGTTTGTGTAAACACATTGACCATAAGACGATATTATACAATACAGCGAATGCACAACACAGCTGCTAAAACAGACCTGAAAACAAAGTAATCCCTTCTCAAAAGTCATGGTGACACTTATTTAATTGCCTGTTGCTTTTGATCATTCAACTTTATCTATTCGAATGGTGTGCAAGGTGACAAGTCACAACAGGCAATGAAACAAATTTCTGTTGAAATCATAACGTGAAAAACATTTCCATTTGTCAATGAAATATGGACTTTTTGTGAAATTAAATTATGGCTCTATGACTTCCAGTGCCATCGACTGGGCAGCAAAGGCACACAAGGGGTTTAAACATCGGCCAAGTGAGTGCAAAGCCAATTCATCAAACCATCACTACAAAGCTGAATTCAGTCTACAAAGCTGAATTCAGTCTCCAAACTGAGAAAAGAAAAGACGGGAGTGTTCCACAGAAGTGCCACCTCTCTGCACATATTATCAGCTGCTCCCTGCAGCAACAGACCATTTCTCTGTTTCTCCCATATGATGATTCTTACCCACACTGGTGGCTGAGATTGTACTCTGTAGGATACTGCAGCACAACCGGCTCTCTTGCCGGACTCTCCACCACGTCCACTGTCCCATCATCCCTCAGGTATGGGTTGCCCGGCAAGTCTCCATTTACCTCCGCATGTGTCTCTGGCGATGGCATGCTGGAGGGCTCCACCATCTGAGGATCCGGCTCTGTGACCTCCTCCTCCATCAGTCTTTTATATGCAGTGCCTCCAGCAGCAGCAGTACAGTGCCTGTCCACAAACCACTGAACCCAGCTGCCTCCACAGTTTGGGTTTGTCCCAGAGCAGCAGCATCAGTTCCCTGAAATCCGTTGTTAATATTTGAGCAGTGAGAGCAGCAGGTACGGTAGCTCCTCTCACACTCCACTCTTGGCTTCTTACTCACTCCCGCCGTCCCTCCCTCTCCTGTCTGTCTCCCTCTCTCCCCCCCTTACTCGCTCGCTCACTCTACAGCGCAAACATTCCTCCACATGGGGAAATGGAGTGAGGGCTCATTAGTGAGTCCCGATGACAGACTCAGCTCTGCTTGCCTGCCTGCGGCTGTACTGGCAAAGTACACACGGAGAAGCTACAGAGAGGGAGAAAGGGCGAGGCGAAAAGAAAGGGAGAGATACAGAGGAAGAAAAAGAAAATAAAGACACGTGAATTATTAGAGATTAATTAGAGACGAAAAACAGGGAAATAGGAAGAAAAATGATAGGTAACGTGAAAAAGGCTGAAAGGGTGTTTTTGTACAGACGGTCCCAATAACCCAGTGGGTTTTGCTTACAATGCGCTCTGCAGGTCTACACGGGGACCTGCTGGGAGAAACCACAGAGAGCGGAACATGTTGGGAGAGTCTTATAAGAGCGTGCGCCACCGTGTGGAGCAGGAGTGCGCGCTGGACGCCTCGCAACAGGAGGATGGGGATGGTGGAAGGGGGGCGGCGTCCCGGCAGGGGGTCCACAGTGAGAAGTCCTTCCTCACATCGACCCAAGATACATACAAGACAGACACTTTCCGCGCTTTCTTGTCATCAGTGTGATAGAAATGACATTTTCCAACAGCTACCATCATCACTAACAGCATCCACCCTCTCATTTAAACACCTTCAGCTCAGATCTTATGCTGTTTGAATCAAAGCTCACAGAAACACCTACTTCAGTCGAAAATATATCTCAACCCGATTTTGCTTAAGCTAAACCACATTCATGTTTTTGTTTTTTTAAGGAACAATGTGCTAGACTTTATTAGACTGAAATCTTGCGCAAATGTCAGTGCATAGAAGGGAAAACGAAGTATCATGCGGACTTATGTTCAAGCCTATTTTTCACCCAGTCTCCATAGTGTCTGCATAGGCACAAAAAACTGCAGCGAAAATCACCCGCAGATTCTTACGAGTGGACACCCGCTGGTTCTGACGGGGCCAAGCAACAACAGGTGTGGGGCTGAGCGCAGCACTTGCGGGATTAAATGCGGACAAAGAAAAAAAATCCCCATTTTCCAATGATACGCTGCAGCCAATTCATTGCCCAGTGAAGATATTTTATACCCTGAATTCCACTGCTTACCTCTGAGGCTGTTAGATGTCTGAAGGTGAGCTGTCAAATCCGTTAATCGATGCTCGCAGTAGGCTCCAGTTTAGAGACTTGGGGTGGACTCCTCAATCAGCCGTGTCGATCGATCCTGACGACGGTGATCCTGCTGATTGCTTTCTTATTAGTTAGTTATTCCTTTGTTTTGACAGTGCAGCGTGGCCATGCTACACCGGCAGGGCAGCGTGTGTTTTAATAGCTTCTGAAGTCCAGCAGCAGTTGGACACATCTATTCGAGTTGCACTTTTTTGCCAAACTCTCATCAGCATTTAAAATATTTTATCATCTAGCTGTAGCCCCTAATACTCACAGAGACTGCGGAATCTAATAAAAAAAAAAATCACTGCCCTGGGTCTGTTGTTTCAAACTCACAATCCAAGGAGTGAAGATCCACACACACAAGTGCCGAGCGTCAGTACGATTGATGAGAGCAGCCCAGTGCCCAACAGAGACGCTTCAATCCAAACCAATACGCAACCGAGCAGGAAAGCAGCGGATTGGCTGTTTTCACTTGTTTGCTTATATCGTGGTCTATCGTCTCATTTTCAAGCGGAGGAAACACCTGCACCGTTTTGAAAACACCTAACCGGACACATTTCTTCTGTTACCCCGCCTCTTCTCCAAATTTCAGACGTGACAACGTGCCAAACCAGCCAAATTAAGTTTGTGTGTTAGGATTATTTCAAATTAATTTACTGCCAGCAGCAGAAAACATATTTCCTAATACATTCTGTTTCCAATACAATACAACAATTTCTCTTCCCTGCTCCAATATTCATGTATTTGCTCCTCAGAGAGCTTAGTTTTTACAGGTTTTTCACCAACGCTCAGTCATCATTTCTGCCCTGCTTCACCAAACAAAGCCTTAATCACACATTCTCTCTCCACTTCAGACTGCTGAACAATGGCTTATGTTTACCAGAACCCAAAACAAGACTGATGACTAAAAACGGCAACAAACTCTCTGATGAATGACTGAATATATCAGAAAGGCTTGCAGTGACATTCTGCAGGTGCAGTGTGTTCTTTTGAACAACATGTCTCCTTAAGAAAAAGAGAAATTTATAATGAATGAAGTTCAGAACTGAGCAAAGACATGCATTTACAGAATGAAGTTATCCTGTACAGGAGTAGAAGAAGAAGAAGAAGAAATCTATAGCTGAAAGCTGCTGCTAAAAATAACGTTACTATCCTGATATGTCGCCCAAACAAAAAGCTAAAGCAATTCTGATTCTTAGTGCACTGCCAGACAGTCATCTACCATACAGTATAATATCATGTGAAGAAAGAAAGACCCCTAAAAAGCCCATAAGAAACCAAATGGATGTATTTACTTCACATTGTGTCATTATTAGTCTTTTTTATGATGTGTCTCATTAACTAAAAGGCTTCCCAGATTTTTTCCACCCCTCTGTTTATCACTACCACCACCACATTCCCAAATTACTTCTTTTTCACTGCACGCTGTTAAATGTCCATATTTGGTGCACTGATCATGTATATGATATATTGCCTTAAGGATATTTTGTCTTATTGGCGGACATGCAGGCAGATTCAAACAGAAACAGGGAATTAGTTTACCTTAATGAGGAGAAATACTGTGAGAGAACAGCCGTGAGCAAACCACGGACATCTCCCAGAAAGTCTGAGAGTATCTGGTACCTAATATGAGAAAGGAAGTTGTTTACCTCAACCTCCTTTACTATACCAGTTTGAGCGGAATACACTGCAGACCTCATTAGATAGGTGTTTCTCATGTTCTCATGTCTCAGCAGGCCCACGTGGCCCTTCAGTTTGGTTGCTTTTTGTTCAAGGTTAACGTGAGAGTGATATACGTTTTACTTTTCAGTGTTGCCAGTTCACATTTTAATAGTTAATGAAAGCTGTTCCCAGAAAATAAACTTTCTTCAAAGGAATCAAAATACAGAGAGGTTTAGTATTTAGTTGGTGATTTGCAGGTGAAAATACTTTTCAGTGTCTGTGTTTAAATATGAGGACTTTGTTTGCAATTAGCCAGCATTTCAGCAACCGGAGGCCCCAGCTTTGTTGCAATACAGTACGTGAAATGCTTTTTTGATGATTATTTGCAGCCTCTATGCATACAAATACAAAATTTTAACCAAATGTAATTTTACCTTGACATTTTTTTCAGTTCTGAGGCAGTGTTTATATACAGAAAGACTATAACAATGGGAACTTATCTCCAAATGAGTCACTAAAGTCATTTAAAGAAGCTGACCAGTAATGAAAATAATACGTGGTTTTCTGTTCAATAATGATTAGAAGTCAGCGGCTGTTTTCTGCTGAAGGCTACGAGGCTGACGGCAGAGCTCTTTCCACACACCCACTCACTTTCTTTATTCCTATTCCTGTCAGTTTAATCAAATGAATGCCTATGTCTAACAGGGTATTGTATGTTTAATAGTGGTATTCTAGATTCAGGGTAATGTGCCCACTAGGAATGCCAAAGGACAAAAAAGGTCCTGCCAAAAGTGCCACCCACGTTTATACTGTCAGGGTTGCAACAATTATTTTTCACATTTTAAGGCATTTGGAAGGAGTCACCCGGTCTGACTTGGAGTGAGTCAGCAGGCAGACAATTTGGTTACAGTGTAGTCTGAGAAACGCTGGATGTACTGCATATTGACTAATAACAGTTTTCTCCAATAAACATGAAATTCCTTTTATCAAGCGAGCACAAAACCCTGTGCAATGCAAAGCTGCCACGCACTGCATGGGGTTATTAGAAGCAAGTGTACATGTGACTCTTGTTCAAGAAGGTCAAGGCAAAAACAAAGGTTTTATACACAGTCCATGATCTGTTACAGACTATCAAGAAACTACTTGTGAATATAAAAGATGGATGAGATCAACACATCTGTTAGTGAATCCTGTTTTCATGTCTTACGTTGAGTGGTTTCAATGTTGCCATATTGGTGTTTTGAATCCAGATGTGATGAGGGAGGAGCAATGTGAGGGACAGTGCTTGTTTTTAGGGTCACAGCTTGTCAGTAACACAGTATACCTGCCATGACTATAATGAGGACCAGAATTTATAAAATTAATGTCTCATTATGTTCAGTAATGTTTCCTCAACACATATCTACTGTGTTGCTGCTCTGGACTCTACATCAGCAACAGGCAGACATGTTTTTATGAAACAGTTCTTTTTTTTTTTTTTACAGTGTCCTGTACATTGCAATCAGAGTAGAGAAATCACCCTGATCCAGCTGATTGTGGGTTCCGGTGAGGTCTATTATTTACCTGCAGATTGACCCTCATGCTGTTAGAAGTGCATACATAAATACTCTTTGGTAGGAACAGCCTGTAACTCCGTAGCTGCTTAAATACACTGTGACACCAGCATTAGAGGGTTACTGTTTGGATTTACGTGGATGTTGTGACAAAAATATTTTGCATTGATTAAAAGGAGCTTATAGGATGGGAGTTATGCTGGTTCTGTGAATGTAAAAACAACAAGAGAAGACAAACAACTAATCCAACTCAAGATTATCTTTTGTTTGTCTTATAACTACTTGAAAAGGAGCTTCTCATTGAGGCTGTGCTATAAAGAAACCCCTATAATAGGTAAACAAGTAAGCTTGGTAGGTCATTAACCAAGCAATTTAGAGGAAGTATGTTTGAATAAATTGCAGTCTTAGCAGTTTTTTTCAGCTCTGGGCTTAGGATACACCTCAAGCAGGCAGCGTTGAAAGCTATTTTGATATTAGCTTTTCTGCACACACACATCCGAACATGCACATACAGCTACCATGCATCACGAAACCAATCTGTGCTTAGTTCAGCCAAAGAAAGCTCATCACCATGAGGTGTGTGTATGTGCATGTGTCAGTGTGACAGCATTTCTGAGCCTGTGTGTGTGTGTGTGTGTGTTCTTGATGGAATGAGTCACAATGTCTCTGGTTTTGCTGTGGCTTCATGTAACTTTTCAAAATGGAATCTAATGCATCAATTCATCTGCTCTGGATTTGCTGAAACAAAATGAAAGTCCTCAACGATGAGGCTTGACAGCAGCTGAAGACCACAAAGCTTCTCCCTGCTGCTTATCTCTGTAGGGGACAAAGAGGAGGACTGTCTTTTTAGAACTATGTGAATACTAAATGGCTATTGTCAGAGGCATGATTCGGAATATCTCATTCATTGCATTATGATTCGGTGAAATGGGAGCTTACCATCCATGTCTTTAAAGCAATGGTATGAGCTCTGGTTTAAAACCAAACTGAAATAACCAACGCTAATAACAATCCTTATGAATATGATTTTGGACTTCAGCACTAGGGAAAAATAGAGTTTGATCAACAGTATTTCTGTGACAATAATGTTATGACACGGTGGCAAAAAGACTTTCTCTGAATGTATTGGCAAAAGGCAGAGAACACCTAGAACAAGTTGCTGCTCCATCACACACAAGCAGTCCAACACATTCACACTGAGATTCACACTTCTGGCAGTTTAGAGCCTTTAGTGTCACTTTCCTCCCACAGTTCAAAGACAGGACCTGTTAACTAGCAGCTTTTCAAATTGCCTGCTTTCCAATTGATGCTGTGAGGACAAATAATAGTACAAATAAATCTGATTAAGTAAATGCAAAAATACACCCTGGCGATTTTTATAATTCAGCAAGAGTTTAGATATTTTATTTATTTATTTTTCTGGAGAAAAAACCTTTCAGTTCAAGTTCAAGTCCTGTCTGAGGAACATAGTGCAGTCAGTTCACGGTTACCATGGTTTAGCCTGTTACTGACAGAAGGAGCTGTGGCTAAATATAATTGAGCAAGTCTCTTCTTCTGCACGGAGGTCAGATCCATGGCTTCTGAAAAATAAAAAACCATCACGCTGGGTGGTCAGGTATCTGGAGAGCAGACGAAATACAAATTTCAAAGCTGTGCTGTTGTCATGGATCAAGTGAGAGACAAGGTTATTCTAGTTAAAATATATGTGAACAAATATTGTAGTTAACTAAGATTTAAAAAGAAAGAAAGAAAGCTTCTAAGAAAACGATGAAAAATCAACTAAAATTACTTTTAACTTGGAAAACTAACCAAAACAAAACAGAGGAAATATTCTTAGTTTTAGAGTATTTGTTAGTTTAGTTATTTTTTAACTCAGATTTTTAAACAATAAGAATTAAACTAAAACCAGAAAACTTATTCTGGAAACTAAATGAAACTAAACTGATTTAAGAACAAAAGAATACTAACCCCAGTGAGAGACGGTTCTGATTTAAGGCAAATGTCCTGCTTTAACAGACATATTTTAAAATAGCTCCACAATTGTTTACATTACATTAATATTTTTCACATTAAACTGATTCACTTACTCAACCTCAGCTTCTTAATCACCAAAAACTGCAGTGAACAGGCTGGAGTTACACATCACAGCAGCCTGTCTGTAAATGTGCCAAAATAACCTTATTGGATATGAATCATGAATGAAGGAGAACTGATCTAAAGAGAGGTGATTTAAAAAGGAAAGCATTTCATATGGTAATCTTCAGTTGGTGGTTACAGTATAAGAATATTTTAGAAAGATTTCTGTCCTAGAAATCTGTGTCTCTCTGTCTAAAATTTTCAGGGATATTTTGTTGCATTTTTGTTGGTAAAAGTTGCATTTGCATGTTTTCATTAAAATAGAATTATTTTCAGAGTTTGACAAAACTTCGTGCAAGTACTTCCAGAAAGTTACTACAGTACCAACACTTCGGGGGGCGGGGTGAAACCGCTGTGAGACCTTGCCCCATCCTATCATGTGACCTACTGAGGTCACCTGAGTCATCAAGGTGTGAGTTGGGTTTGAAGCACCTGGGATGGGATTTTAAGACTGCATTGTAGTTGGCTGATAGATGGAGATCTATTCAATGATTATTCACAGCAGACATGCATAGCCTCCTTTGCTCCTCTTTCAAACCATCTGTCTTCTCACATGGCACATCATGGAAGAACCACCTCCACAGAACAAGACTCACCTGCATTTAAAGGACAAAGGAGACCGTGTTCAATTTTTGGGCAAAGCAGACAGACCGTTAACACATTGTTAGCTAAAAAACGTCATCTTAAAGGTCAGTTTAAAAAATATCTCTCTTTAAGGGCAAGCACAATGGTGCAGTGGCCTCCCATTAAAAAGGTCCTGGGTTTGAATCTACCCGCCAGCTGGAGGGCCTCTGTCCGGGGTTAGGCTAACTTGTGATTCTGAACTGGCCATAGGTGTGAGTGGTTGCTTATCGCTTAGCTTTTGTCTTATGACAGCTGGGAGAGGGTGTCAACTCCCCCTCCTGACCCTGAACTGGTTAAGCAGAAGAAGATGGATGGATGCTCCCTGATGGATGGAGCAAGTATCACAGGTCTTTATTTCAGTCACCTTGTGCAACCCAGGCTTGTTGTCTGCTAACCTGCCTCTCATCCATTCATCAGTCAAACTGAGCAGCAGATAGCGAACCACAGGACATAAAGGTTACAGAATAATGTGCTCTAAACCCACCAATAGGCTCGCTGAGACGACACACAGTCTCCATGAGACAGAAACATATAAATAGCATATGACAACCTTTTTGAAATCCAGACTGTTACTGTGTCTCTCTTTCTCTCAATTTAAATGATAATATATTTAAAAGGAGATGTACTAAGCATTGTGTGCTCCCAGTACATGTACACTGACTCTTTGTTGCCACGTTGTTTATTCTAATGAGCATCCTTAAAGTCTTAATGCAAGATTTAGTGTACATACAGACACAGCCACCAACTGTAAGTGGATGAAAACAGGATAGAGCCAAGTCAATTATTCTTACATGAAATTGTGCTACATATGCTTCCTGGACATAGAACATTGAATGAACTATCTCTGGCTTTCTGGCTGAGATTGTAATTTAGCACATTTTTATGATGTGCACCAGTTCGTAGAAACTTTCTTACAGTGCCTTCAACTACAACAGCATCCTAACTTAATACATAACCATTTAAGTCACTTTATATAATGAAGAAGGTTTTGATGCTCAGAGAAGGAAGTTCAACTCTTTACAAATTGGATTTGCTTTTGATAGGATCTTGGAAACTTATTCTTCAGACCTAATCTACTCTGGAGCAGATTAGTTTAAGATAAAGGATCTATACATATAAAACAAAAACCTAATAACCAATAAAGCCTTGCACTGGAAGTCAGTCTGTGTTATGTTTTTAGATGTGCTTATTTTTTGCTCTCAGACAGTTTAACACTGATAAAGTTAAAGCTGAAAGAATATCTAAGAATAAGTTTTACATAACATAGGAATTTCTTCATTGAACCAATTCATTAATTCAATGAAATACAGAAGTAATTATAGGCATCATTATGGCACCTCGGTGATGGGCAGTGAAGTTTGCTAAATGAGACGATCTCTTTTTCCTTAGATTGCCTTTTTTGGATTTAATTTTAGATTTATTTTTTTTAATGTAGAGCTTTTCTATTATTTGTGGCCACTCAAAAGTCTTGAAGTGCACCCATTAATACAGTGCTTTTCATACAGAGCTTTTACATGTGCACAGTCCCTCTTTCTGCTCTGCTCTCCTCCGCTTTAGCTCTAGGAGCTGTGCTGCTTTCAGACTGCATTATCAGCTTCATATTTTTCTAATATTATAGTTTCCTTCTTGTTTTTATGTTACTCTGTGGATTGGGCCTGCCCATGTTTGTGACTGATCATACTCACGGGTAGATTGATAGATTGATTAGATTGGTAGATTATAGATTCCGGGTTATGTTAATGAGGTAACAAGTGGTAACCTCTGGAGCTGAAAAATGAAGCCAAGGCTTAAATGACGCGGTTCCTTTCATGGGACTTGAAGCTGGCTTCAAAAAATAAACAATCCTCATAGACTATCACATGAAAATAACAAACTTTACAGCAGAGAAGTTCATAACATCTGCATATGTTTACATACTGGAGTGAGGGGATTGCTGTCTTAAGTGACAGGTGTGCTAACATGGGTAGTAGTATGAAATTTTGTTGAATGAAATTCTAGTATTTTATTATTTTGTTACCATCCATCCTCTTCCGCTTATCTAATTCAGGGTCACAGGGAGACTGGAGCCTATCCCAGCTGCCACGGCGTGAGAGCTGATAGGTGCCTCTTGGGTTGGTACAGTATATGAATGTAGGTGACTCATGTGACTCTTATATTACAGTAGGTGAAGCCAGAAAAGGGACATATAGCCTGGTCATTTTGTACTTTCTTCATACTTAATTTTGTGAAATTAGGTATTTTGACTTGGATACAAGTTATTTTGCAGGTCAACATTAATGGTGCTCAAGAAAGCAAAAAAAGAAAGTAAAGAAGTTTAACCTTCAGCTTGATTTTGCTAATTGCTTTTGATGGTGTCAAATGTTTGCATGGACGTTTCCCCTTTTATTCACCGAGTTGTGAAACAGACCATATGACAGCTGAGCCTGAGGAAAGAAACAATGATCCAGGACACACAGCAGGCAATTAGCACCTATCTCTCCTAATCAGTCTGCGCCCTGCATGCATTTCAGCACTCATTATTGAGACAGATTTTCTATGATTCATCGCATTGCTGTGTGATTTACCACCACTCAGCAGTCAGGCGAGAATTCATTACACCATTAGAATGCAAATCCTCCTTTGAAAATAAAGCATCAATATGCGAGGCGATGCCTTCATTAGACGGTCATTTGGTTAATTGAGTCACTTTGTTTTAAGAGGGGATTAGCATATGAGCTAAATCAAGGTCGTTCGCCCCACCTGTCTCATACAGACACGACACGCTACAACCAACCAATACAGCATCCCAATACTTCTGGGGGCAAATGTCAGTTTTTAAGCAGTTGCATCTTTGAGTAACGCACTATGACGACCCAGATGATAAATGAGTAAGCAAAGTTAATTTAGTCAACCAATAGGAGGTCAGGTGTATGTGTTGATAGAACATTTGTGAGCTTGTACTAACAGTTGAGCTTCACTGCTGCTTCAAGTGATGTGACAAATGAATTTGAGTGCACGAGAAAGAAGCTGGAGCAGAACGATTCCCATCACACATTCTCGGGGTGTGATTTGTGCTCTCCTGCCACATTTGAACCACAGCAATCTGAACATGTAACATAAGAACTGAAGGAAAATGCATTAGCTTGTAATAAAGCATTATAATACCAGATATGGGTCCCTGTTTCAGTTGTGCGAGGCTTTTATTTTTTTCAGCAGTTTCCTCTTTGGCAGAAGGCATCTTAACATTTGGCTCCTGCTCCCTTGAAATCTGTTGATTTGACAGAGTGCCGATACACTCGTCCCTGCACGTCTGAATTCATTTATGTACAGACAGACAAGCAAAGCAGTCACAGAAGCTTCTGAATGTACAGGTACTATAGATATAAACACAGCTGGGTGTAAGCAGGCTTATAGGTCAGCTTTTTCAGACATTTTAGACCAAAGATGAACAACGAGCATGTCATTATTCAAAGCACAATACACCAAAGAAAGTATTCAGTAGAGTACACTATGTATTCTTTTTTTCATTTCTTGTCACAGCCCCACTAGAAAATCCCCCACAAAATAATATTTAAAATAAGCCTCAGTTCACTCACATGACTCTGTTAACACTAATGCTGACATTCACATTACTAAAAAGATTAGTTTTGTTATATAATATTGTCATAAATCATGAGGAGACATATCTAAATCTACTGTCAGCAGGCAACTTAAAAGTGCGAAGGGTCACCTGACAACAGGAAGTCAAAGATTTGACTTACCACAATCCAGGAGCAGGTTTTTGAGACAGGTAAACCAACTAGGACTGATGGTCTGTTGCACGTGGACACAGACTGGATTAACTCAGGAACAGGAAGCTGCTTATAGCCCAGGTTCTTTGGACATCTGGCCCAAACAGGAAACACACAGATGCACAGTTATAAACATTATCTGCATATACATACAAGTCTACACGCTGCCCACAAACGCTGAAGACGAAGAAGGGGCACTGAGTAATGGTTTGAAACAGGCTGTGAAAACTCGCCAGTGAGGCAAACAGACTTTTTTCTCTTCTGAAAACACGCAATCATGTCCTCCAACACATTTACCAGTCATCTGCAAATACCATTATCACTTTCACATTCCCATGAGGTCTGGGCACATTAGTATAAAGGATGCTTCTAGACACACCCTTAAAAATGCCACCTTTATAAATACACAGTTTACTCCCAGGTTACAGTGCTGAGTGGATGCTGAAGGCAGAATGATCCATGGACTTGAAGACAAAGTGTTTACAGCCTCACAATCAGAAGCTACCTGTGAGCTTGTACACACTGGCAGCAGCTTTAAATGGATGTCCCTCTGGGACATAAACAGGAGAAAAAAATGAACACCTAAAACAATTTTTAACCACGGCTGTAAAGGAGATGATTCATTGACAAATCCCCATAATGACCCTTGCTCGTACTCTTTTGGGCTCCAAAGAGACAGTGGACTCCACACCTACCTGGAAAATAATTAAAAGTTATTTCCTACTTGCCAAAAATAATATCCCTTGGTAGCCCTGCTTTAAAATGGCACTTTACATCTGAACCTAACAAAGCATTTTGGATGAAATAAGTTGTGATGGCTGCAGTTACAGCCACACAGTGGTAATAGCCACCAAATATTAGAGGCTTACACATAACACTACACTCACATTTTTCTTTCTTTAAATATAGGATTTAATTTACAGGATAATAAATAACTAGTTTTGGTTTAGAATTAATTTACATATTCACATAATACTGCATTCTAAAATAAGTGCGCACATTTTAGTTTAGACTGTTATGTATGATTTAATCTTTGTTTTCTGAGTGACCTCAGTTGCAGCTGCTCCAGTCCTTTGATTGATGAGCCAAGAGGTGGAAAAGGGGAGGAGCAAGCCTATATGGAGACCAGCAAATTGGCACATACCATAACTCTGGATCAGGAGGGGAATTGGAAATTATTATGCTAGTTTCAGTTAGGTTGTTTGTGTTCTACCCCTTTTTTTGTGTTTTTGTGTGCTGATCAGCGACTATTTAAGTTTCCCCTTTGTTTACGTAGGTCAGTTTGTTTGAGTTGCTAGTATTGTTTGAGAGATCAGAGCAGAGATCATCCTCCATCAGTCCTCCTAGAGCACATGGACACGACTTCTCTCTCATTTAAAAATGCTTTCACATTATAACAACAATAACAGTAATAGTAATAATAATAACAACAATTTCTCCATGCAAAGAAATACTTTTATTCAGTTAGATTTATCCTTGTGTATATTGGAATGGCCTTCTCTGGAAACAGTCTTGAACCCAGAACTGTCACCTGCCACTGCAACAACAAAGTGCTTCACAGCATTACTGGATAAAACTCTTTTGGAGACATTTCAAAGTTACACTGACATTAAAGCTATTTGGTAAAAAGCACCCCTGAATCCAAAGTGACTTTGAGAGTGCACCAGTTTCCAGTCTTAATGGCAATAAACATTGCAAGCACACAAGGGGGAACGTGTCAGTCATGGGGAAATTATTATTTTGAATCCATTATTCCACTGTGGACGTAACAACATGCTTTCATTATGTTCCTTTTGACATTAGAAATTTGTCTTGCTTAATCACACAAACTCTTAAGATTTGGCAGGAGGCAGTGCTGGTTAAATGTGTTGCACAATAACACAATAAAAATAACGGCCATGTTCGGCAGATAAATTAGCAGATTTAAGATTATGTAATGAATAAAAAACTAAAATACACCAGTCCAGCCAGTAAGTGAAATGGGAATTTTTAGTATCTTGCCTATGGATATTTGGCATGCAGACCAAATATGCAGCAAGGGATCGAACCACCAACCTTCTAATTATTAGATGACCTCTATCTGCTGAGCTATTCACTATTCACAAGGTTGTGAGTGAATCAATGATGAATAATCAATCAAATCCAACTGAAATTAGATGTTTTAATAATCACCTTCAAATGAACCTTTGCCTCAATACAGTCAGACTTACCTACTGCACATATAATACTTCATCAACCCAATGATGCATCAGTATCACGTTCTTTCAATGGGAGCTCTGTCTTCAAGGAGGCAAATAACTTAACAACAAAAAATGTGCATATCCTGCTCTCTTATCATGAGTCCCCTGTGGAAAAGGAGCTATTACCAGTCATTACCAGTCACTTAAACCGCAGGCAGGCAGATTCCCACTCCTGACGTGTCTGAGATTTCACTATAAACTACAGAGACGGGTACAGTTAAACCAATAAAGCCAGAAATAACCGTAAATTTGCAATGTGCTCTCATGCTTTACATGCATTCGGATTAAAAGTCAGGTATGGCATTTTTACCTCAACTTTGTGAAGGACAGTATATATCAATTACAAATTACTGGTGCTTATTAATGTTTTACAGCTATTTTTGATATGTGCCCCACTATTTAAAAAAGAAAAAAAAGGAACTGCTTCTTGTTGATTGCAAAATGAAAGAAAAAAAAAAAGCTATTATCTGTGGTAGAGCCATCCACCTACTCTTATATAGAAGTAGACAACCAGACAGCTTTCTTTTCTTTTGTCTGTGGTAATTGCAGACTGAAATAAAGATGAAGCCATGCAGCTCTACTTATTTAACCTTTCAGTTTACCCCACAATCTCCACACTCAAGAATCTCAACATTTCTCGCATCAGCAGGAACTATGAAGCCCTGCTTTCTTAGAAATAGCTAAATAGTGACTTTATGCCCGACCTGGCCATATATAATCTTAAAAACCTAACAATACTACAGCTCAAAGAATTTTCCAACTGCACGAAGACTCACAGTTTACATAAATTACTCCACACCTTGTGGACTAAAAATGAGACACAGTATTTTGAAAAGAACACAATTTCTGAACAGTTAAATGCCACCGTGAGTTTTATGTCCCTTGCTTCTAATTTATTGAAGCAATAGTTCCCCAGTCCCCAGATTTTGGACACTGGCTGCTTTTTGACTCATTTTCAATCCAGTCCCTTTTTGTTTTTTTGCTTGTTTGTTAAGCCACTTAACACGTATCTATGAATCATTCAAGCATAAAAAAGCCAATAAACTCAAGGGAAAAATTAGTTTTGTGTCTACACATAACAAAAATATAATAAAAATAAAAAATGAAAGTCCCCAAAAATACATAGCATTTTCTCTCTCTATTTATTAATATAAAGAAATGAAGGATGGCTTAATCCTTCATTTCCTTCACTTAATAATGCAAGTTTTCTGTAGAGGGTAGAGGATAATGTGTTTGTAAAAATGCCTAACTCACCACTACCATCACCTTTAATATTTTTATTTCTGAAGTGCCAAAGTTACATGTAGAAATTTAAAAAAGGGACTGCTGTATGTCTGAATCACTTTTGTTCGGTTAGTGCTCTCCTTGTGGCCTCTAAGTGCAGCCTAGAAAACTTTTGCCACAATCATTCCTTTGTTAAAATGTCAACTTCTCAGTACTGCTGCAAGTAAAAAGTCAACAAAAAACTGCGAGAAGTACAGTAAGTTATTGTTATTTGCTTTAAGATCTCGTTGAACTGTATGAAATTCACGAGTGAGAAAGAACTTTATTGCAAAGACATTTATTACAGTGATACATTAACACACCGCCACATCAGAGACCTGAGAAAACAAACCAAATTCATGTGATTCTGTAGATTTTCATCCATGTAAGAAAAGTTTTTTACATATGGACTGAATAACAAACTAGTAGAGGTTCTGCATTGTTCTGACATGACAAACATTTGATGGTACATATGAATTTAACCAGCAAAAAGCAGCATTACAGTACCAATCCAATCTAAACTTGAACCTTAATCTGGTTCATCTTTGTACCCAGTGTTGTTTAAATTAAGCTATGACCTGTTATAGACTAAGATTCTGAGTTTTTGATGTAAAACAGTAAGAGAAGCATGCCTGCTTTATCATATTAAACATTTTAAACATTTCTTAGTTTAGCTCAAATGATCAAACACAAAATGTTGACTTTTTTATGACTGCGGTACTGAAATACTTCAAACACATGATTTTGTTTTTAATAAAACAGCCACATCATATGTTTGAAACGCTACATATTTTCTATCATCCAGATACGAAGTGCTGAAACCAGTCAAAGGTGACAATGCGAGAAAAGAGAGAATGCAATGCATTGGAAGAAAACTGGAAAAAAAGAGAGCATCAAGAAGCATGTGCTGTAAAAAGACTCTCCCATGGAGGTGCAGCCTTGATGCACTTCTCTCACTGCTCAACTCTTTTCCTTCTAAATAAAAACAACCACAGTCCTAATGAGTAGGAGGAAGAGCAAAGGTGCCCGGGAAAGATGCGGCGCTCCCAAGGACAACATAAGGAGAAATATAGGCACTACTCCTTATGTGCTAATCTTGTCCTGTGCTGTGCAGTTGCATCACTAAAACCTGGATTTAAAAGCTTTAGAAATGAAGATAAGATCGTGCGAAAAACCCGTCAATGGCTTCAACAAAGTAAAATATTGCCACTGCCTTATTACAAGGATCAATGCCATTCATATTTATAATAATAATTTCAAAAAGTGGGGTATTTTAAAGATCTAGGCACATCTATGAAGAAAAAGAAGCAATAACCTGATGTTCCGGCAAATTCCTAGAAAATAGAAGTGAGTAAATTTCTTCTGGTCCATGGCTGATTTTAGAGGTTATGTCAAAAGAAATGAAATATAAGAAAAATTAAACCAGGGAGTCCACATGACAAGGAAGGCAGCTGTGGACATACAGACACACAAATAACTCTGAAGCTCCAAGA